CTCTGCCATGTTCTCAGGCCCAATTGGAGTGGGTGACTCCCTTAGAGCTGAGATATTTGCAGTTATGGAAGGAGTCCGGAAAGCTAAGGAGTTGAACATCAAGAAACTCATAATTGAAGGGGATTCAGAGGTGGTGATAGGGTGGCTRACTAAAGATCAAAATAGTTTATGGAAGTACAATAATGAGAGGAGGAAATTCAAGTGGCTGGTGCGGGAGATGGAAGTTAAGACATGTTGGATTAAAAGATCGACTAATTCCCTAGCTGACGGTTTAGCTAAACAAGGGGCAGAAAGGGATTCACTGTTTTGGGCTAAGCTGTAACTTTAGTGTCTTTTTTTCTTTTTTCCTTTCTTGAGGCTCTTTGTGGCTCTTCGAAGATAAGTGTGTTTGTCTTCCACTTGTAAATTTTCTACTGATGATTTAATGAAAGTGTTACTGATCAAAAAAAAAAAAAAGGTGAGAGACACCAAGAAGCCTCTCACAAGTGAGCCCACTTTGTTCATTTTTAAGCGAAATTAGTGAGCTCTTTGATAAGGACCTTATTATGTCAACTGTGTATGATGGGACACCAGTAAATTGTCAGAAAACAAGTAGCTAATTATCATGTCAAGCCCCAAAGTTGAGATTGGTAATTGGTGTTGAATATAACATCATAGTACAAAAGAGTTCAAAGATGTGTTCCCTGGCCATGGTTTCCCTCAAGAATGTGATTCCTTGTGGCATTTGATCTTAAAAACATTTATGGACGACACTCTAATGGCTCGGACATGGGCCCATCCAGAAAGTCCTCGGTTAAGAGTCATTGGAAATCTATCTTGTCTTTGCTTCCTACCTTCTTCTGCAACATATAAGGTATGACACTATTTCTGGTAACAAGGTGAAGTTTTGGGAGGATTTTTTTTTTTTTTTTGAAGAATAAGAGAAAATTTTATTAAAACGAAAACAAATACAAGCTGTTCAGGTGTCAAGATGACATCCTAAATCAAAGCAAGCATTCATCAAACTTCAGATCAAAGTAATTGATTTCACATTAAGTCTGAAAGTCTGATTTGCTCAAATTCTGGACAAGAGATGACCCAGCTTGTGATGAGTTTGCCAACTGAAGCCACAATCTCTTCAGTACTTCTTTCCTTTCCTTCAGCCAGCTCTGCCTTACCCTTCTCAACTCCTCCCAGAACTCTGCTCTTTCTCCTTCCTCATTCAGGGCCCGTACACATTCATCAGTCCCCAAACCCACTCTTCATTTGTCTCCTGTAAGCAAACTGACACCAAATATCTCCCAGCCCACTCCCTGATTTTTTAAACACCCTGGATCCCATAGTATGACTCAACCACCTGACAACCCGACCGCTCAAAATTCTGGGACTGGAAGGTGCCACTCTGAGGTGGCATCCAGTAGTGCTGAATCAACTTCTGAATGCTGAAAATCTTGCCTTTTCGAAGGTTGGAGGTCGTCCAGTTGCACCTTGAATTGCTCATTTGAATGCCAAAATTACCTAAGAATTGTTCAGCACTCAAGCTACCTCTGAGGTATGACAATTTCTGGTAATAAGGTGAAGTTTTGGGAGGATTTATGGCTGGAGGGTTCCACTCTGAGGTGGCGTTCGATAATGCTGAATCAACCTCTGGACACTAAAAATCTTGCTTTTTCAAAGGTTGGAGGTTGTTGAATTGCACCTTGAATTGCTCGTTTGAATGCTTAAAGAATCATGCCTCTCCCCTATAGTAAAAGCTGTGATGTGCACCCAACAAATAAATATGGTAGCAGACCATCTTGAGAATATTATAATGAGCTCTACAAAACCAATATTGATGTAGGTAACTTTTAAAGGCTGAGGTTGCTGCACTTCTACAAGGATTAAAATTAGCCCAGTACAAGGATGGTCAGGTCTAATGATTGAAGGAGACTGTAATGGTCATGGGATGGATGGAGAACAAAGATGAGGGTCCTTGGAGGCTGCAACAGATGATAAGAGAAACCATTGCTTTGGCATCCAATCTGAATTTCTCATTCAGATGGACTCCTCATTCAGGGAGTGAAAGGGAACAACTTTTATGGGAATACCAGAGTCTGGCATTGCTGTAAATCTAACTTAAATGCAAATTGTCTTTGACATCTTATGCTGCTTGTACAGTTTATTTATATCCTTTTCGATGCACTGAGTTTTTATATTAATACAATTCTCCATCATTGATAAAAAATAATCATGCTTTCCAATTACCAAAGAAAACCCATAATTATGAAAACAAAGTACAAGTGACGCACAAGAATCCAGCAAATTAAGAAAAAGTAGATAAAAATAACCTAGGAATAAGCACCTAGGATTCTCTAAGAGCCAGCACCTAATAGCTTCCTGAAGGAATTAGTAGCAGCATCAAGAAAACTAGAATTACTTCAACATCAGAAGAAGAAGAAGAAGAAACCACATTTATTATCTGATGTCACAAAAAAATCTGTTATTT